TAATAATAATAATAATAATAATAATAATAATAATAATTCACACATGAAGATGATTCACCCTCAAATTTAACCCCAAATGTATAATCAAGTAGAAAATATATGGAAGGATAACATTTAATACACACACAAGCTTTTCAGATGTTTTCATGAAAATATGAATTATTCAATCTTCAACTTGCATTAAAACTTTTTACATATTTGGAGTTGCATCTCCAACACAGGCTTCCTAACGAGTGTTCATCTTTAAAGCATATTAATACATGCCTATGTTCAAGTATCTGTCTTTTCGTACTGACAAGCTCACTGTAATTTTTTCTTTAGAACCAATGAACTGCCTTAAAAATTATTTAGCAGAAATGATTTTGCTTACAGCCTGAACAAATGCTTTGCCTGGCTGCATCCCATTGATTAGCACAACTTGAGTTTATAGCAACAAATTGCCCTCTTTGCTGCTGTTTTGATACAAAATTCAATAGCAAACATGTTTTCAAAAGCACTGACTGTGCTTACTGGAGCAACTGGAAACAGCTAGAAGACTGCATTCAGTGTGTGTTAAAATAATTGCTCTCTCATCAGTCCAGAAAGAAAGTTTAAGAATTGCAGTGTTCTAATTGGAAAGCCTGCATTATGCATGTCATAGCAAGCTACATTGTGCTGATTACGACTTATGTTCTTTTCCTTAAGGGTTTAATTTACTTCCATATCCAGACTTAAAAGGCCCATGCTGAAGTGACAACTCCTAAAGGAGAAAAATTTTGACCTGTTGCTCATGCTTTGTCTTGCTCATGGTTTATCCTTCTACTATTTGAACAAGGCTTCTCTTTTAGGTACACAATTACAATGATTTTAAAAATAATCTACTATTTTTGTCAGTGGGGGAGGACTTCACACACTAATTATGTAATAATGTACTGTGACTCCATTTGATGATTTGGAGGATATTTCTAGGGACTGATCCTCAAATTCGTAATTATGCAACCAACTTTCATCCTTACAATTCTTTCTTGTACGCCAGCAAGGTAAATCTGGCTGGATGAAACCAAGGGTCCACTGAGTTTCTCCCACAGTGGTCAAGCCCACAAGCAAGCTATAAAAGCAATAACCCTTTCCAGTTGATATTTAGAGGCATGGTGCTCCTGATACTGGAGATATCATAGAGCCCCCCCCCCCAGTTGAACCGACATACACAGCCACCACAGATTCATACAGTCCTCCTTTAAAGCCACCAAAAATCTTGCCTATTACTAAGAATTGTGGCAATGACTTCCATAAATTAATTACGTCGCATGTGAAAATGTTCTCTCTTGTCTACCCAGAACCACCTCACTTATTGGAGAAGAACTTTTGCCTTGTGAGAAGGGGAGGAGGAGAGAAATCCCATCCTTCGTGTCTTTGATTCATTTTATAAATGTCTACAGTGGTCCTCCCCTTCCTCAATTTTCTAAGCTTAAAAGCCTCAATCACTTGCAGTTTTTTCTTTGCAAAGTTGCTTGAGCTTTCTAATCATTTTGATGGACCTTTTCTGTAGCTTACCTTTTTAGAGATGAGATTAAAACTATATTATACCAAATATAACTGCACCATAGATTTGTATAATGATGTTATACTCTACTGGTGATCTCTTTTCAGTCCCTTCATTAATAAATGTTGGTATGGGATCCATATTTTTATGGCTACCATAGACTCATTTGACACTGCTACTGAGCTCTCCACCACACTCTAAAGATCTCTTGCTAGCTTAATGTTTTTCAGCTTATATACCATATCTGTAAACACAGCTGGCATGCATTATTTAAAATTATTTACACTGAACAGCATTTGCCAGCTTTCAATACAGTAGCTGTGTTAGTCTGTTTTGGCATGTATAGCAATGAACGAATGAACGAACAAACGAAGAAAGAAAGAAAGAAAGAAAGAAAGAAAGAAAGAAAGAAAGAAAGAAAGAAAGAAAGAAAGAAAGAAAGAAAGAAAGAAAGCTGTAGGACCTTACATACTAGTGGTTTTCTTTCAGTGCTAGCTTTTGTGGATCACCATCCACTTCCTGAAACTAAGGTAACACAATACTTCATCTAGAGACATACTGTATATATGAAATACATTGTAGAGAGGCACTGAGACAAATGAGACTGGGCAAAGTGGCAACAATTATAATGGAAATAGGAATTTAAATGAAAATGGCCTAGTAACTATTAGCCAAAGTGCTAATCACCTAGACATCCTGTCATCAACAGTTGTTGTGTTAAGAGGGAATCATGTCAAGGAAAAGCCTTAACTGCAGCTAAAGCAGATATTGTGGATACGTCCAGATTATTAATATATAGAGTTTGAAATCCTATTGCTATAAATTATGTCATTAAAGACTGATGTCATTGACAGTAGCAATTATTATGAAAGAAACATTTTCCAATCACTCCTGAAGGTCCTGAGGTTGCCTCGGCATTCTTCTCATTAAGGAAACTGTTGGGGGCTACAAGAAGTCTTTAACTCTCAAAAATCATTGCTGGTGGAAAAGTCATCCCAGCAGTAGCAAATGTTGGTGTTCAAATACCTTCCTTTCTCCCCCCAGAAGCTTCCCAACAAGGAAAAGGATCCCACAAGTGCCTTGGGACTTGGGGGGGGGGGAACTGAAGTATTTTATTCCTAAAAATTCACCGCAGCGGGTGACCTCATCAGCCTTACGCATATAGCTGCATGGATAGGACTGCAGCCATGGTGAGGTACGAATTCTTGGTCCATTTGGGATTATTATTGCATTTGCTACTATCTTTTCCTGTTTGAGAGAATATATTTTTCTTTATCTTTAGAAATCAGTGCAGTGTTTCCAGAAATAGCTTGTACTGGCCAACAGAGCTCTAATAAGCAGATTGTCTCTTAAATCAATGAATTATGTATGCCAGTCTCACCTTTACACAGCTTGCTTTAAATGTCCACAGCATGTCTCCAGAGCAACGGAGAAATATCCTAGTTTCTACATGGATTTCAGATGCATGCTAACTGCAGATTTCATTCCTATCCAAATAATTGTGTACATCTATCTATATAGACAGATACGGCCTTCTTATAAGAATATGCAAGTTTTATATCATGAATTCCCTTCTCCCCAGTAAAGCCATCCTTTTTTTTTTTTTTGCTTTCAACTTCTGCAAAAACCATTACGACTGCAAAAATTATTTTGCTATTCACCAGCAACAGTCTCTGCTTTTTCTTTTTAATTCTGCTGCTGTGGGTGTGGGTATGACCTGCTTAAGCAAAAAACAAAGAACTCATTAGCTTCTGGGGAAATGCCCTCTAATTCAGAATCTAGCTTACCTTCGACATTTGTTTGTTAAAAATAAAAGTAATTGAACTTGCATTTGAAGAATAATAAAAAGATGAGTCTTCCACATCTATAAATCCTTTAACATTGACTGAGGCGAAGATAGGCTGGACAAACAAGATTTACAAAAGCCGTTGCAGAAGCCTTTGCCTAACCCCAAGCTGTTAATAATATTAATAAGTAATAATTTCTGAAGCTAAAATAAAAGGCTTCTAAAAGAAGACTTTTAGTTCTCATTAGTGCTGACTTTTTGCAAATTAAAAATTTAGAGCTGATTCAGTCAGAATTCCCAGAGGCACCATTCCACACTTGGTCAGAAGAAAGACTCAGTTATCTGAAATTCTGCTTTCTCACTCACCATCTTTCTGTGCAGCTCTAAAGGTCTTTTGATTGCTCTAAGCAAGGCTGCAGCTAACTTGCTTATTAAAAAATCTGTCAAGTTAAGGGCAAAGTCTTAGATCTGTGATGAGCACAAACACAGATATAAATCAATGTAACATTTTTCTAATTGTAAGTTAAATCTTTTCAAGGATTATAAGTAAGGGCCAAAGGGAAAGACCTATTTAATTCCCCCTCCCAAGGAATCTAATACTGTTTTCCAATGGAATCTTTTAATCATAATCACCGGGGTTTCTGTGCTGGTTTATTGATTCAAATCTTTATATGTTACTATTACTAGGAAAGGTATAAAAATTCATTTATTTCCAATGATATACCAGCAGCTAATATCACTGTGATCTCTGAATATCTTAATTAAAATCAAAATAGACGGGGTTCTTGGTGAAATAATCAGGTGGACATAACACAGCTCTATAAACAGGAAAAGCTCTTGTAAAAGGCAATGAAATGTAAAAGCTATTAACTGTGATAATTCACTTAGACTAGAAGTGGGCAGGTATGGTCTGTATATGTTCCCTCCCCCTAAGGAACCAACCTGTGCCCCCATAATACCCTGGTAGCTCACAGCCTCCCATTTTTGATGTGTGTGATTTTTTTAATTCTCAGGAAGATCCCTTATGCCCTTTAGCAGATATAGAAGTGATTTTTTTTCATGTTTTGGACTCTTCTGCCAGAACACCAGAGGACTGTACACCCCCATTTCATTTTTGAAATTTTTTTTGATACTAGCAAGCAGATTTTCCAGTTAGTAATCAGGTCTCCAAGAGTGAGTGTGGCCTTTCAACATCCATGAGGAACATGTGGTGGCCACAGACCTCTGGACATTGCTTACCCCTGATTTGGCTCTGGAATGTTTGCAAAATAACCACAGAGACTATTTACAACAGCAATAATATACAATTACATTGTCATCTTAGCACAGCTGAACAAATTTACATCTGCAACTTACAGGTCAAAAGCAGTTTCCCAGGACTTCTGATTTCTGAATTGTGCCAATTCTCCCATCTAGACCCATGTGGCAAAGAGCTATTATCTGTGTCATAATAAATGTGTTAATCTTTAAGTACCTTAAATAAT